GCTGGTACTGCATCCGTTCTGCCAAAGGAAACGTATCCCCGACGCAGTAGTTCCTGGAAGAACCACAACAGGCAGATTGCGAACGAGTTTGGCCTCATGCGGCTGCCTGTGAAGAAGTGCCTTTCACGAAAATGCGCCACTTGCGAATATCATGCATATGTAAGCACTGCACATGCCTGTGCACAAGTAGAAATACTGAGAAATACAAAGGAAAGAGCACAAAAAGGGCTCGGCCCCATGGTGTAACAGGCACTGTTCTCTACAAAATACAGAGGTTGCGCAGAATAATGGTCTTCAGGAAACAATAAATTAGGCCCGCCGGTTTGAAATGCAGCACTTGCTGTTTTCCCACGATGGAACACGTGGTGTTGCCTGTTAGCTGCCCAGATCCATTCAACGCACATCGGCAATCGCGGGACTCTACGTACTGCTGTGCAATACGCTCTACGCATTGCTTCGTAGAGCCACAGGGGCAGCCCCTGACGAGGCAGTTGCGACGAATTGACGGCCAGTTCCGTGTGCAATGCACACCCTCAAAATGTGGTAGCAACGGCTACTGCAGGTGCAGCCAACCGCCTCGTCAGAGAGAGCAACTTACGCTCGATGTACCCCACTCTTTACGATGTTGTCAATTTTGGTGTCCGCAACACGTATTTACTAGAGCAGAGACTCCAACAAACAATGCAGGCTGGGCATTTTAGAGTCCACGCAGAATGCAAATGCAACTTTCTAACGGATGTACTAGTGCGTCACTTCACCGCTAAAACTCGTCACACGTCTTCTCCATTTTCTATGTGCGGAAACGATCGCTCCCTACACGACCGCCCACTTGCTCGACGGAAGACTTCGGGCTTATCCATATCGCTTGTATGCCTCTACACGTATGCAGGTACGCAAAAGGGAAGCGCTGAGCTCAGTTCAGAGAACTTATTGGGTCATCTGCATTTCAAGTCGCATACCCCGCACCCAGTCAAGTACTACACTGCCTTGCTGCTGGTGCCTTGCCTACGACTAAAGAAAAGTCCACAAAGAAACTTGTGCCGTGTACTTTGCGTAGCAATATTCGACTTTGTGATGGGGAACGCACGCGCCTAAGAAGTGATTCACTACGAGTAATCCTCTTCATAACGCACACGCACATTTAAATGGGTCTACACTCGGTCGGCTGAGAAAAAGGCCAGAACACGAGTAGCTCTTCACGCCCTCGAGCTTCGAAGATAGCAAAAACGAAGCCGCACGGAATGTTCCGTTCATCCGAAATAACGGCGCGGCCCAAGCCAGGGCATGAAACGTCAATATAGGTCTCCTGAAACTTGTGCCGTGTACTTTGCGTAGCAATATTCGACTTTGTGATGGGGAACGCACGCGCCTACAAGTGATTCACTACGGGTAATCCTCTTCATAACGCACACGCACATTTAAATGGGTCTACACTAGGCCGGCTGAGAAAAAGGCCAGAACACGAGTAGCTCTTCACGCCCTCGAGCTTCGAAGATAGCAAAAACGAAGCCGCACGGAATGTTCCGTTCATCCGAAATAACGGCGCGGCCCAAGCCAGGGCATGAAACGTCAATATAGGTCTCCTTTCCCGTTCATTAGGCCATGGCCAACTAAAGGGCAGTCGATTTCCCGCAGCTTGTTTCAGAGGGGCCCCTCGTGCTATGCTTGTGAGGGTGTAGGGGTGCACTTGGGCGCACGAATACAAGTTCGAAAAAGGTTGAATAGTCAGCTGGAGTTCGGCTTGTGACCGATTCCAGATGACTTGACGGTCACTTGGGCAGAAGGGCGACCTGAGGAACTCCCAGTTGCCTCAATGCGTTTCAACACCTCCATGGAATCTTCTGTGACGCTACCGAACACGACGTGGCGGTTGTCCAGCCAAGGTGTGGCGACAGTCGTTACAAAGAATTGGGAGCTATTGGTGTTCGGCCCTTGAACCAGCACAACACAAAACTGAAATATATACGCCACACTAGAGCAAAAACACCCCTCTTCAGTCCTCAAAGCAATGCCGCCTCATGCGGCTCAGAAGCAATGGCTTTCACCACCTGTCCATGTTGTGCTTCAACGCGCGTTCTACAGCGTGTGGCAATCTGCTACGCCTGCGACTGCACACTGTTGCGGCTTTGTGAAACAGATATCCGCTCCCGTGGGCATGCGAATGAGCATTCGGCGAGGGCGTCGCAACTGCAAAGTGCAATATTTGTCAAGCCTCATGAAACGGAAGGCACGGCACCTACCAGCATTTGCCATAGAGAGAATCCCTGGACCGATGTGTTTCAGCTCGAAGTTCTCGTCGTTGAAAGATGGCACGGGGGATGTGTCTGCGCCGGGTAGGACATTCCTCTGGACATCTCCCCCCTGAAGATATTCACGAGAAAAAACG